GCTTGCCTGTTTGGCAAATGGCCTCAGTGAAATCACAAACAACAGAGAAGAGTTGTTTGGCCACCTGTATCATATGGGAGCACGAGAGACTGATACTTATACTTCTCACAACAGATTAATTTATTGTGATCTATAGGAAAACAGAACTCAAGAACAGGGAGATATATGCCTGATATGGAAAAGATAATCTCATAAAATGCTCTCCTATGTTGAATATCTTTGAGTCAGTCAAATGCTGTAGTGCTGTTTCAGTCTAGTACTACCAGTGAGATTTCATCAATGTAGCTAAAAGGGAACCTGACTCCATGTGCTGACAAGAAAAAACTGCTACTCTCATATTTTAATTAGCAAGAAAACAATACTGTACATTACAGTATAGCATAATTGCACCATTCAGTATCAAAATAAAAGTCTCTGAGGGCTGGAGAAAGAACAGGTCTTTTAATTTTCTGGTTTAGGCTACTGTAGCAAAGACTTCCCATGCAACACTGCATTCTTCTGATCAATAATCATCTGCTACACATACTGACACCGTCATCTTGGTGAGATAGGAATGTCTCCAGTATCTAATATAACACGAGTTGGGGAAAGTGCAAATACTTTATATCCCATTCCCTGGCTCAGAGACTCCTGGCTTAGAATATAACTAATGCTCATAGAAGTTACTTGTATCCTGCTGCAGGAGATTAAGACCTCCATTTTATGTGTGGTAAACATGAGTAACTACATTAACCTTGAGCTGAAGGAGAACATTTTGTTATATGAGCACATCCCAGGTCCTATAATGCTATTCATATTAATACAAACCACAGGGGAGATGAAGCAAGTAAATTAAATTTATTAGCATTCTGCTGCTTGCTTCCTAAATAGTATGGGATTCAGGGGACTAGAAGCTCCTTCTCAAGTGACACATATTCCAGGTTCTATGTCAGAGTGACAGGTGAACACAGCAAGGTGTGTTTAAGTGTACCACACCTTTTATTGGAAGGCACAGCTGTTTCTCAGTAGCTTGCCAAAATCTCTTGTCATATACAGCTAGAAAAGATTTTTCTCTGCTTTAAATGGCTGTATATTTGGAACAGTCTGCTTTGAGCCTTGGATTTATCTATCATTAAACTCTAAGCGGTTCTAATGTGGGTGTTCCAACTGAAATATTCTATTCTCCTTTATTCTACTATACACACAAAGAGGCATAGACACATTTAACTGAAGTCCTCTACTCTCCTGCTCCACTAAATCCTAGGTTGAAAATATGATAATCCAGCAGACTAGAGTGAGAATTCAGAATGAAGGTGGGAGGTGGGGAGAGAACATCTTTCTCTGAGAATGCACAAATATTCAAGACACAATTTCCTCCTCTGTGCACATCTAACTCTCACTGACACCAGCTTTAGTGTTGAGGCCTAAAACAGAGAATCAGAGGTATTTTCTCCTACAAGCTCATTGCAAGAAATACTAAACCAGTTAAATAAGCCTGAGGGGGGAAAACACCCCCACTTTTTTTATTTACAATATCTCTTACCAGTCTGGCATATGTTTGGGCAGACACAAACTTTGACAGTGACATAAAAGTCAGAAGTCCCTTCCAACATTGCCGCATTTATAACAGTACATACGGTCTTACATCAAGAAACATCCAGAGTTAATCAGTGCAAGAGTCAGGAAAGCAGAGATAATTACAGCTCCTGTCCATATCCAAGACTGTCAGAAATACAGTTTACAATAATTACTCTAGACCAGACTCTTTTCTACCCTCTAGGGTCACTATTTAACCAGTGGTTAAATGAAAAACACAGCTGACTGGGATGGGAAATCTTGGCAATGGCAAAGACTATTTCTCCTTCCACAGTCCTCATCAAATAAGGGGCATACAACAAATTGCTTATCTCCACTCTGCAATTCTCCCCTCCACCCATCTGTAAATTTGAAATAATTAATAAGCACCCTTATGTTGTCAAGGTCATGGAAAATGAGAAGCACTCAGCAAAATGGATGCACTGACAGTGAAGGGTGTTTATGGGTGGGGTTTCTTCATGTAAATGGAAAATCTGTGAGGCAGAAGCTCCTTCATCTGTGCTATGAGTGCTAAAAGCTAGAAAACTTAAAAGGAAATAAAGAGAATGCAAATACATTATGCTTTGAACAAATGTGACCTTCCCAAGAAAAAGACTAAGCCTTATGGAACAGAGTCTCAAAATGCACGAGGCCAAAGGTATCATTAAGTCAGGAGTCTTCATGCAAATTCAGTCACACAGTTTTTGCTCCTGCTCTGCTGCCTGTCCACACTGGCTGTTCACAAAGGACTGACACAGGGCTCCTCCACTCAGTGCTCTGGCCACACAGACCTCGCTTATATACACTTTTTTGTCACCTATATCCAACTACCTATTTAAAGCTGCTGACAGTTTGGAAAACTCCAGCAAATCCCAAGACAGTGACAATGAAGATATGCAAACCACAGATCTACCTGGCTACTTTTTTTGTCACATCACTAAGTGTGCACATAAACACACACTGCTATATAAGCTTCCACAACCTCCCTGTAAGTCTCAGACATCCTCACAAATATAATTGACAGAGTAAGATGGTGTCATTTAGGTATACAACACTCAACAAGAAAGGAGTGTCAACATCAGATAGAGAAACAATACATGAGCTTATGGAATCAGTTTCTGGAGACACAATAAAACTGGATGAAAAGAATTCTGTGATGAGTACAGAACTGCTGTTCAATATTCAAATACAGAGATGCTGCAATTTCAGTATCGCTGAGATATCTGTGCAGTGGGGTTGCAAACCATACAGACAAAAACAATTATTGGCACATGATCAGATCCATATTGTGCAGAAATAGAAGGAATCTCTCTTTCTGCACAGATCTCTGCTTCTGGCAGATTTTTTCTAACTTCTTAACAGGACCATGAACTTTTGCAGTGAGAGAATTAACTTTTACCACTGCAGTTTGCAAAGTCTCAAGCAAATCTGAAGTACACCACAATGGTAAACCCTCAGCACGTACATGGGATTTGCTATCTCATCTCTGATGAAACACGTTTTAATCTGCCAGGCTCACCTACCAGTCTCCTTCTTCTACATCCTATTCTGTAATTTGAAAAAAATTGGCAACCTCTCTAGCCTTTTCCACACACAAAACCCATTTAAAAATGGTTTAACATTTTAACCACCTTCCTATGTGTCTGCTCTCTGAATACAGAGCTAATCATACAATTCTCTGAAGAAATCAGAATCAGCAAGAGCTTGTGTATTGATCTTAATGCAACACTCATTCCTCCTGGTTCAAACCTTACTTCATACATGTATATGCATTCATGTCCAAACACTAAAAGCACAATAGTAGACCCTAAGTCAAGCAAAAACCTAAGGGGTGCTAGAATCATGCTTAAGGCTCAGGATCCAAAGTAAAGAAGGCCACATTTGGTACCCCTAGCTGAAATGAGCATGAGATACTGCCCTGTCACAGTCGAGTTGCACTGGCTGAGCTTCAGGTCTGAATGAACTGCAGGTTCTGTACACACTGTTGAGGTGCAATAATACAATAATATTTCAATTATACATGTTTTTTTAAGGATTTGATGGAAGTATCTGATGTTCTTCGTTTACTTCTGCCTCCTTCAAAACCACATTTTGAAATTTATATCTTGGTAAAAAATTGAGCTTTTGTTTTCCTCCCACAAAAGCCTTTATTTAGCACATCTGTCAGAAATCACTCTTGGAAAATAGATGCTAAAATTTACTGCAAACAAACCACTTTCCACACAACTTCAGCTGAATTAGGAGAAAATAGACTGAATATATGCACTCATACTTCCTATCTCTGACAATATTTAGCTGCTTTCTGTAGTTTCCAAGAAAGTCTCAATTCTACAGACCAATGCTGAATGTTTGACAACCACAATTTGAGAAATCCTCCTGGGGAAGCAGTGATTAGAGAAAGCAACTGGCAGCTAAGGAGGCCCATGCTGTATTCCCTGTTCCATTACTCATTTCTCTGGATGACCTTGTCAAGTCATTTAATGCCTTTCTGCCTGTGTTTCCCTATCTGCAAAACGTTTGGATAAACACCTTGTTTTCGAAAGCACTGTGAAAATGCTCTTGGGGTGTAACATCAGATGAAAAACTCAACAGCCACATTACATAAATGCCAATCTAATACTTACTAACCATTGCAGTTTAAGTGATAGGTTAACCTTGTACCTGAAGGCTTTATTTCAGATGAGAAAGTAGTTACTCATTCCATTTTAACCTTATTAATATCAGCCATGCCAGCAACATAAGTGCAAGCTATAAAGGTAATAAAAAGAGGAAAAAAAAAAAAAAAGAACCCTGGCATAAACATCTTTGTTCTGCTTAATTTAAGAAGTGTGACTACTTAGCCAAGCTTCATCTTGATCAAGTATGTGCTGCTGGCAGTAGGCAATGCTCAGAACTGGGATTAAAGATACTAGCATAGTACCTTTAAGCATCCCTAAACCATTAAGCATTAAGGTTTAACAGCAGCTGGCTCTGACCTGGCATCCCTAAACCTGTTCAGGTCAGTAGACTATTACAAGTAGCTTCCCAAATGGTAACCAGCTCTTCCCTGCCCTTTCAATGACCTTGACTGGCTAATGCATGTTTTACTGTTAATGGGCAAAGATATACTATAAATGGAATATTTAAGTGCAGTCATTATGAGTCATTTCACCATGACTCTTTTTCTAGAGAAAAGTGTAATATTACATAATTCCACGAGCAACCTGTTAACAGACAGGAAGCAAAGTGGGGAAGATAAATGTAATTTTGATTAATTAACTCAGCTGTAATTAAAAAAGCAAACGTGTTTTGGACATTTAACACACCTCGCACCTCAGGTACCACGTTAAGTGCTGTTACAAGTTTTGCAGAGTGCACCCAACACTTTGCACTGACAGCCAAGAAGGCAGCTTAGTCTTTCAGGCAACTTTTATACGGGGGCTGGGATGTATTTCACCTGGAGAAGGATGGATGCCGCCTCCATCACCGGCCGACCCCTGAGGGCCGTCACGGCTCCCAGCGCCTCCTGCTCCCTCACAAAACGGCGGCCGCGCACGGCCCAGCAGCCACGCTTCTCTCCCTCAGCAGCGCCGGACAATTCCGCCACACGGGTGCATCCAGAGGCTGCTTGGAGAAGCAGGAGGAAGCGGCAGAACTCCCTTCAGCGAGGAGAAAGCAGGGAACGGGAAGGACAGAAGCCACCCCAGCCCTGAGGAGAGCTGAGGAACATGGCGGCGCCTCCTCCC